TTCCTAGCCAGCTACTACAAACGCCACCAGCAACAGACACTGCAACCGCTGCGTAGCCCAACTAGGCTGGACCCTCTGGACGCCCGCACCGCTGACACAGGCGCCGCAGTCGTAGAAACGATTGCAGAACCAATCTGGTCCGGTAGCGGTTCAAGTGGCCGATATCGGATGGCCGAAGAGCCCTTCCTGAGGCCAAGTCAACTTGTCAGGATGCGCAGCTCAGGAGTGCCGCGTTTGCAGCCGATCCAGTCGCGTCTGAACAGCTCAATGCGTAGCCTCGCCTCATTGACGCCAAGTCAAAAAGGCAGATTGTCCAGCGACGAGGGAACTCGGTTTGATCCTAATCTGGTTCCAGTCGTCTCCAGTGGAGCACCAAAGACTGGCCTAAGTTTGGCTACCTCCGTCGGTCTTGCCACGCCAATCAAGCTGACTCCTCAAGATTTCGTGCCACGCTATTCTGCCTGGGCCCAGTACGCTGACGCGAGCACTGCAAGAGGTCGGGCTGCCTGTGTCCAGAATGCTCGGAGAGCCAGAACAGAGCCGCCAAAATCCGATCACAAAGACCTTGCGACGGAGCAGGAGAAGTCACACTTCGTGCTTCCCTCCAAAACATCTGGTTCCGTCCAGCCCCCGAAAGCACCAGAGGCTGGCAACTTGCCGCCTCAGGTCAGCTTGGTCTCCTCGAGAAGAGCCGACTCGAGTCGTCTGGATGAGGGCATTGTACAAGACGATAAACTTGAACACTTAATAGAAGGTCTTAAGCCAGCCGACCAGGAGTCCGTCATAGACAATTCACAAGAGACTGAGGCGGATAAGCGGCAATCATTGAAGATGATCCACTGTGAAAATGAATGGAGCGCAGACCAATTTTGGCCGCAGAATAAGGAAAAGGCGTTGGTGAAAGCACCAGCTAAACACACAGTATATCCAGCGCAGGCTGGCAGCAACTTGTCAGACACCCAAGAGACGAATAAAAATGGTTTGGTTGACGCTGCAGACGAAGCCTCCTCTTTAGACTGGCGCTCGATTGACTTCGGAGGTGAGACAGAGACTGAAGCAACCGATGGTTTGAACCAAATATCCGATCTGGTTTGTCTCACCGACCTGGTAGACACTTGCATGACACGACATCAGGCGTTGTTGGCCAACCGGCCATCAGCCCTTGAAAATCTTCTCATCAATATGGGTTGGTGGCCAGTCGCTCCTACCCCGGGACACCATTACAGTCCACCGAGGGCGGCAGAATCAATCTCCGTGGCAGCCAACGACTTTGATCCCGGCGAAGATTCGCACTGTGACGAATTCCTCGACCTGCTGGCTGGACCAGCTGGACGGCGTCCCTTGAACCTGGGCGAATTCGGCTTATCTCACCTGACCAGCAACCTAGAGCGTCGGCCAGCCGACGGACTGCTTTATCTGCGCTGCGGTCAGGCCGAATGCAGCCTGCCCATGGTGCGAGTGGCGGCTGCCATCAATTGGCTCGCCTGTGGCAACTGTTACACGGTCTACTGTTCGGCCAAATGCCGTGACTACGATCGCGATGAACTGGGCCATCCAGAGGTTTGCTCGTTCGCTCGAGCCAAGCGCATATGTGGCCGTGTGCTGCGCAACCTGGCGTCCGGTCAGCTGGCCAGCCTCATCGCCCTGGCCAAGGCCGGTCTGGCTCGTCTCGGCCGAGGCGGTGTTGTGCTCACCTTCAGCTGCGTCCGACATGCAGAAGTCTTCTTCACCTTCTGCCAACAGCAGACCGGACAGGCGCCAGCCTCTCTTGGCCGACCGGTCGATGCAGAGGCTGCCAGCCGGATGTGGCAACGACAACGGATTCCCAGTCCCGGAGCACTGATGTCACCTCCGCTCTACCTGACACTGAACGAGTTGGACGAACTTGACTCCGGTCTGGCGGCACCCTGTCGGGCCTACGCTTTAGATGCCAGTTTCGTGCTGATCGTGATCGTGTGCGCTCATGAGCTGCACACCAGCCCCGATGGACGTCCAGTACACCTCTTCAAGCAGAGCCTCGTGTTGCCCTTTTCAGCCTCGAGCACGATACTTCACTCGCCCGGCGTCAGCGAGGCGGCCAAACTGAACGCTGGCTCGGTGCGGCCGCACAAGCCACAACGTCCACCAGCAGCAATCACCTTCGAGACGAAGTCTGAGCTGCGAGAAA